GACTTTCTACTGCAACTGTTGCAACTAAGACGTCATTAGCTAATAGGTAGTCTTACAAAGTTTCTGCTATTTCTGCCTGTGCTTTCTGTTGCGGTTGGATGAATCTGTTGAGACATGCATGATTTCAGACTTTGCACAGGTTTCATGTAAGCAGTCTAGGCATACAAAGAGTTCCTGCAGAGCTGTGTCCTGCGATCTCGGGTGACTTGATTTGCAGTTAAGTTCTGTGGCTGCTGGACCAAAATTCTTGTGAAGCTGTTAAAAGCTCGTGTATAAACTATGCTGTAACTCTGTAACTATCAGACTTTTCTGTGTCTTTGAATGATTACAAAGCTGGTAGAATCACAGAAAGGCACTGAGTTCTGAAAACAAATTGTAGTTAAACTAGTTGGCTTTAAAACCAAAAGAAACCGCGCTAGAAAACACACACAAAAGCCAGATAATTTTATTATGTTACTCACCAAACAATTTTGCATTTGATTTCTCTTTAAGGATATTACTGTAAATACTTAATATTTGTATGTAGATTATGTTTCTGTCAATAGAGCTGCTTAATGTAATGTGTTATTTTGGGATTTTTTTTAAGCTGCAAAATCGGACATAAAGAAATCTAATGCATATGTTTGCCCACTCTACAAGACAAGTGAGCGTAAAGGAATCTTATCTGCAACTGGACATTCTACTAACTTCGTCATTGCTTTGACACTTTAACACAGATAAACCAGTTCAACATGGGATCAAGCGAGGTGTTGCGTTGCTCTGCCAGCTGGATGACTAACTTCGACAGTTCAGATACAGACTTCACAAGATCTCCTTCTTTTTGTTGGCTTGCAGAGGAAGTGGAACATACTGTGTAAAAGAAACATCTGGACTTTTTTATATTAAAAGAGAGCATGCAAATATTTTCTGATCCTCAGTGTTTTGTCTTAAATTAGTATGTATTGTTATTAATATCTTTATAATCTCTAAAAGATACAGCTAGGATTTTAGCCTTTGGTAATACTAGTAATCTGTAAACATCAATTTTGTGCATTGCTTGAAGATCACAAAATATATGCTAATAGAAAATGAAAATAGTCTGCACTGAGAGAAAGATACAGTTAATGAACTTGAAGCATCAAGAGGCTGAATCATGTGAGTAGAAAGCTAGTAGGTTTCGTGATTTCAATATGGATTTATATAGAGCCTATGTTCTCTCATACCAACAGCAAAGATTGCCGTGTCAGAAATCGTTTAACTGTCTATAGTAGGTACTTCTGATGCCTGCCTTCCTCAGTAAATTCACCTTTTCAGGATTTAATTCAGATATTCTGGGTTTTGTAAGGTGTTTTTTTTTTTCCAAATAGTTTCTGTGAAGAATAAATCATAAAAATCTCACTTGTGACCACCTGCCATAAAACGTGATCTGTTCCCCTATTGCTCCGGAGAGGCACCCCAGTTTAAATTCCTTCACTGTTTCTGCACTTCTGTTTTCTTTTTTAAAGAAAAAGAAAGAAAAAAAAAATACTCAAGCATTCTTCTTGGATCTCCTCTAGCAAACAATTATTTCCACCTTGCGTTCAGACACAGCCATCATCACTTCTTTGTAAGGATCCCTCTGTAAGATACAGTAGGAATAAATTAAGCACATGAAAGTCTTACTCCATCCTACTGTCAACTATTATAACTAGGCATCTACGTCTTTCCTTTTCCCTGCTCAGTCTGTTACACCAGTGTAAATTTTCAGCGTAGGTTGGTCCGTCTGAAACTGTGCTTTTTCCTGTAGAGACTCTATATGTTTATCTTTTGTTGGCATTTCTATTTATATTAATAGGTGAATTGTGATTAAGCAGTCAGAAACACATAGTAATTTTTAATGGAGTTCTTGCTTGACTTTATTTGCTTGTTTACATTTTTAAATTGTTTTTAATTTTCCTTTTTATGCTGACTTACTCTTTTAAATAAACTCCTAACAGTATCTTCAGTGTACTACTCTCTTAAGAAAGGACTAAAGAATTTTCTTTCCATAATGTAATAGTTACTACTCATAGTTCTCAAATTCTTGTTCCAAAAACTTTTACCAAGAAAAGTATTTTCTTTGTATTTTTACAAAGAAACTGGACTTTTAATTCCTCCTTTTGCTGGCACCATTTGTCAGGTCAGATTATTAAACAACCTATATGAAAGAAACATGGAGAAAGTCCCAGAGTATCTTATGATTGGGTATTTATAGTGAGCTATTAATGGACGTAGGCTCTACTGAGATCATTTTCAATCCTGAAAATATCACTTTCAACTTAATAATCACTTCTTCAAAGTGTGAGGTCTTCTCTCTTTCAGAAGGTGAGGAAATCAATATGTTTTCTCAATTCATAGGAAAATTACTAGTCTTTTTGCAAAAAAGAAATAGTCTAGATTTAAAATGTTTAATACTCATTGTACTATAGGTATAAGCAAATACTAACAGTTACTTGTCTGTATATTTTGTTAATATATTTCTCTCTCTTGCTGCATGTGAAATTACAGAGCATGGCCTTGCAATCGCACATTAGATGGATCAGGTAACAAATTAAATGATGAGTTACTGCTGCTCAACTTTAAGGGGTTTCTAGAATTATTCCAAACTTTGTAAGTGGCATGTTTACAACTTCCTTAGTTTTGCTGTGCTCATTCATTTTGCTAATTTATTTATTTGTTTTCAGTTTTACTTACTCATTTTGATTTATTTTGTCCTGTATTTTTGGTTGTTTTTTTCAGACCAACTGTCTTGAAAGAAAGAAATGGAAGTTTTGATAAAGTAAAACAGATGAGGGTTTTGAGATTGACAGAACGTCTCTGATTTTAATCTATAATAGCATGCAGCTGCTTCACAAAAGAACAGTGTGACTGCTTATGCATATAACGGTGTAGAACTACATACATTATACTATTTAATGATTGATTAGTTAATAATTTTTTATGATTTCTTCTTAAATTTGAACATTCAGACTTAACAGATAGTATCAGTGGGATTTATTTCTATGCTCCATTGTTTGTATTGCAGTCTTGAAAAGGTAAAATACATTTAATTGAACCCTTTCAATTTGGCAAACATTTTTTTTTTAAACTAACGCTGCAGTTAAGCTTTTTATTAACAACTCCATTGTGGTTACACCAGTGTGTTTTATTTCTGTATGAATTTAGATATATATTGTTTCTGTATTTTATATATTAGTATTAGAAAAAAAACAGGCATGCACTGATGAAGAATGCAGAATTGTAAGTTTATCTGTTCTAAATGTCTGGAGGTTATGTGTGTAAGGTGGTAAAGTTGTTTTTTTTTCAAGCATGGAGTCTGATGTTTTGGTTGGGAGGCTGATGCACATAATAGCACAATTCTATAATACTTTCCTGACTACAACGTATGGCCTTAACGATATCTTTGTTGAAACACTATGAACAGAAGCTATTTTAAAAAAAAACTCACGTCCTTCACTTGCCTTTCACTTCCAGGCCCTCTGTGAACAAACTGAAAAAAACATCCCGTCTTATTGCACACCTGTTTTCCTACTCAGGAAACATCAGAGCACAACTGTGATGATATTTAAGTGTCTGAAAGACTTAGGGAATTACTCTGAAATTTATCTGAAAACTAAGTTGTGCTTTTTTTTTTTGTTGCATTCTAATAAGTAATGCCAGAACAAGTAACTAATCTGTATCTTCAGTCTGTGGAATGTGGATAAAATCTAGCACATGCTATTGGAACCGAAAACCTTTACTCTGTTCTAAATAGAATAACTATTTGCATTGCAAGCTTTAAACACTTGGGAGAAGGCTGGAGCTGGAGAAGTTCCAATTCATTTATTTTAAACTAGATTTCATTTCTTTTGATACTTAAGCAGCAATTGCTATTTCTGTTACTCCAGATTTAACCTGAAGATTTAACGTCTGCTTCCAGTTAAAAAGCAGTGTTTCCCTACGAAAGGTGATCCAGGTTGTGCTGATTTGCCATGCATGATTCTACACATGTGTTTGATGATGATGATTCTGATGATGAAATCCCTACCCAACAAGCTATTCAGGAAAGCTTACAAGATAGGCATAACATTGAAATAAGTGGCAATGCAACAGAAGATGAAAGGTAACAAGCTATCAGTTCTATTTTGTGTATTTTCTTGGCATTATTATATGCACGCAGTGACCTTGCTTTGCTTTGTGACTCCATATGTTGTATTGCTCTGACCTTGTTGCGTGGATACAGGAAAGGACTGGTAGCTCACTTGGTCTGAGTTCTCGCTTGAAAAACTATACCCCTTTCCTCGAAAATAAGGAACGTGTGAAACTTTCGGGTGATATTTTACATCAATATCTAAATGAATACAAGGGTTTATGAAGAAGATAAGTATGTGATGTAAAAATAGATTGGTATGATAGCTTTCCCTCATTTTAGTATTTAATTATCAGCCTTTGTGTGAAAAATCTAATAATTATAGTGGCAGGGGAGGACCACAAAAAAGTGTTTTAATTTGTTAAACCCTGACAAAACCTACATAACTTACAAAAATACAACATAGTTTTGACTTGAATATTTAAACTGAGGTAGAATTATGTGCTGAACCTCACATTAATTTTTACTTCTTGCTTTATTTTTGTTCTGTTTATGCAGTTTCCAGTATATTGCAAGTAAAGAACGTGGAAAGATAATTGCAGCAATTCGGACAGTTAAGTACAAATATACTGCACTAAGCCTATACCCCTAGGAATCACTTGGGTATTGCGTGGTTGAGCAATGCCTACATTTTAGGTGTTTGATCACCTGATTTTAGTGCAGTTTTTCTTTATACAGTCTTGAGAGGAGTAAGGCAGCTAAAAACAGGACAGCCAAAAGCTAACTTATTAGATAGGAACATGGTAACGGGATGGGTTCAAATGTTACCCCTCTCACGAGATTCTAGTGCTTCATCCCCTGGAATTCGGGGCAAATGCTAGGCCTTTCATGTAAACTAAGCAACAGGATGGCAAGGCCTCTAGTCAATTAATACTTCATAAAAGCATTTGGCACTTTGTGAGATACCCAGATTAAAATCCATTCTCTACCTGAAGAGTTTTCCAGAGTTGTTCCTTAACTGCCAAAATTTAGTATATGCCAATACAAGGAGCTCTTAGTCTGCTCCTTTAAAACTTCCACTTTTTGTGGTATAATCAATTTATATACTGAATCACAGAGATAACTAAACAATGAGCATAAGCAGTACAGGTGTTTGGACAGTTGTCTGGCAGTGAGAAACCTTCAGTCCAGACTTTACATGCATCACAGTAGTTACAGAGATATTTAGTGGAGCACGAATCAAGAAACCAAGTCTCTTCTAAAAAAGCAAAGGCTACAAATGCTCCATACACGATGGAGAATGTGTCTGAACTCTAGTTACACTTGCTGTCTGGCCTTGTGAATATATAATTCTTCCATATGTAAGAGAACTTCAGCAGCAGAGATTGAGAGCAGTCTGTCCCCTCACGCTGCATTTGTAACTAACAGAAGGGCGGACTGCCTTCTCCCAGGAATGATGGGGTTATAAACAAGAGCAGAAACCGGGCCTCTACTTAAACAGGCTTTCCAGCCAAGAAAGTTTTGCTGTTTCTTGATGAGATATAAAATTGAAAACACAATCACTTGTGTTGGTTAAAGATCCAATAACGTTGTTAGTAAAAGCGGGGATAATGAAGTTGGTCTCATCCCTGTTAAATCAGCTTCGTTTTGCTTTTGCCAACCTAAATATTTTTTTCTGCAGTTTCACTAGGACACCCGTTTATACATTAAAC